TGCCACTTTTCTCACCATATTGCTTCTCATTTTCACATTGAAGTTATTATCCAAGAAAATACTAGCAAAAAAACCAACTCTAAACTTGCCTCCAGGTCCATGGAAATTGCCTTTCATAGGAAGCATTCACCATTTAATTGCAAGCCAATTACCTCACCATACTCTTAGAGACTTAGCCAAAAAGCACGGCCCCTTAATGCACTTGCAGCTCGGTGAGATCCCAACGATTGTTATTTCGAGTCCTCGTGTAGCCCAAGAGGTATTAAAAACTCATGATATAGCATTCACAAATCGTCCTGAGCTTTTAAGTGTCAAGGTTTTGACATACAACTGTTCAGACATTGCGTTTGCACCTTATGGAAATTACTGGAGACAAATGCGTAAATTATGCACGTTGGAACTATTGAGTGCAAAGAATGTTGTATCATTTGCCTCTATTAGGGAGGAAGAAGCATTAAATCTTGTTCAATATGTTGAATCAAAATCTGGATCAATTATTAATCTTACAGAAAAGATATATGCCCTCACAAATGCTGTAATTTGTAGAGCAGCTTTTGGGAAGAGGAGAAAAGAAGAATCAGTATATTTCATGTCTTTGATAAAGGAATTATCATTAATGGTATCAGGTTTGGACCTTTTCTTCTCTGTTTTTTTTTCCCTCTGTCACACACTTCCTCTTTTAGTTCCAGTTTATGTTCCTGCCTTCTGTCAGTATACCACAGTTGAAAAAAAGTGTTTTTTTAGTAGTAATTGCATTTCCCCCCCCCCCCAAATATTTATTATAGGTTTGGACATAAGTGAGGTGTTTCCTTCACTCAAGTTTCTTCAAGTCATTACTGGCACTAAGGAAAAATTATTGAAGCTTCACAAAAAGTTTGACAAGGTGCTTGACATGATAATAGAAGAGCACAAGCACAAGTATGATGAAGAAGAGTCATCAAGAAAGAATGATTTGGTTAATTTGCTATTAAAGCTCCAAGAAAGTGGCACTCTTGATTTTTCCTTCACTGCAGACAATATCAAAGCTGTCATACTGGTGACATATTTCTTTTAATTTCTTAATACATATTCACATAAACTCATAAATTACACTCGAGTAGTAATTATAAATAATGCGTATATGTGCAGGACATGTTTTTAGCAGGAACTGAAACTTCAGCAACCGTTCTTGATTGGGCAATGGTTGAAATGATGAGAAATCCCAAAGTTATGGAAAAGGCACAAACAGAATTGAGAAGAATCCTCAAAGGAAAAAACAGAGTAACAGAGATTGATTTAAAAGAAGTTAGCTACCTAAAATTAGTAATTAAGGAAACTCTGAGGTTACATCCACCACTTCCTTTGTTACTTCCAAGAGAGTGTAGGGAGCATTGTGTAATTAATGGATATGACATACCTATAAAAACTAAAGTAATAGTGAATGCTTGGGCAATTAATAGAGATGCTGAATTTTGGGAAAATGCTGAGAGTTTTTCACCAGAGAGGTTCATAAATTGTGCAAGTAATAGTTTGGAATTTATCGGACAAAATTTTGAGTATTTACCATTTGGCGGAGGAAGAAGAATGTGCCCTGGAATTTCATTTGGTTTATCAAATGTTGAGCTTCCATTAGCTCAACTTATTTACCATTTCAACTGGAAGCTGCCTAATGGGATGAAGCCTGAAGATGTTGATGTTACTGAAACTCCTGGTTCTAGCTGTAGTAGAAAATATAATTTGTGTGTTATTGCTACCTCTAATGATCATAGAGTATGATGATAATTACAAGTGTAATTGTGGTTGTTTTTCTTTGCTGAGAATAATGTATGCTCTGTATATCTTTGTATGGATGATGTATTTGTGTTTCTAACTACGAATCCCTATACTATGCTTTTATTTAGAAATTTTTGCTATTTATCAGACTATGATGCAGTAATTGTTGGGGGAAATGCGTAATCGGTAATCGGTATACAATACTTTGCTAGTGGAAGTGCTCAAAAAGGGATCCGTCTCTTCTTCATTTCATTCTCTCTATTTTTTCCAAATTTTTATTTGGAATGTGAGACATATGACTTAGGTAAAATTTAATAGCTAAGATTTAGTTGATTAAAATAAAATTATAATAATGATTTAGATAATTTATATTTCATAAAAAAAAGATAGCAATACCATGATTATAACAATATATTATAAACACTTCTCTCTTTTCTATTTTGTTTTCCTACGAGTATTTATCTTCTGTTTGTTTTTTAATTGAGTTTGTCTTAGATTGTAATTTTGAACTTTCTCTTTAAAATGAGTTATCACACATAACAAATAGCAAAAATACTTGTATGGAGAACAAAAATAGAAAAATAGCAAATACTTTAGGGAAAAGGGTCTGAAAAATACTTTAACTTTGACTGAAATTATTGTTATGATACCAAACTTTATGGAGGACCTTTTACCCCTGCACTATTTAAAAACGTAATTTAAAGGCATATATGTGCCCACGTGGACACGTTACTATTTATAATGATGCAATATTTATGATGTCTACGTGGGCACATATATACCTTTAAAATACACTATTAAATAGTGCATGGGGGTAAAAGGTCATTTCCAAAGTTCGGTATCTTTACAACAATTTTGATCAAAATTTGGATATATTTTAGACCTTTTCCCAATATATAAATTTCATTTTTAAAAATTTGAAGATTCCATGAGCAAATTCTCAATCAAATTTAAATTGTTTGACTCTCGAAAGACGAGGAAGTACTTCATTGTGTTATTTTATTAACCCAATCAAAACACGTTTAGTGTAAGCAAATCGTCCATGAATATACGGATCCGGCTCCTCTCCATTTTCTCCAAGTGCCTATTTGAATTAATGACACATGACATAAGTTAAAATAAATGGCTAAGATTTAATTTTCCTAAGTAAATCTCTAATCATGATTCAACTAATAAATATATTATATTTTTAATTTTAAAAATTACTATAACCCCCACAATCTTAACAACATATTTTCTTGTTTATAATTTAGGGAAAAAAAGTTTTCTTCCTAATTTTTTTTACTTAGGATGTTAATTTAATTTTATTTTTAAGTTAATATTTTTATTGCATTTTTTCCTTGAATTTTTCTTTTTAACCATTGGCTATTGAAGAGTATTATTTTTCCTATTTTATTTCACATTTTTTTTCTATTTCCTCCAAAATTAACATTAGCTATATTTGGCAGCAGTTCAATATTTGAAAGAAAATTAAAAACAACCCCACGTAAAAAAAAAGTAATTAGGAAGAACTTTTTTTCCCTATATTTATGGACAAGATAATATGTTGCTAAGATTGTGAGATTATAATAATTCTTACTACTAAATATATATTGTATTTATTAGTTAAATTTTGGTTAGAGATTTACTTTGGGAAATTAAATCTTAGTCATTCTATGCCATGTGTCATTAATCCAAATAGGAACTTGGGAAAAATGGAGAAGAAGAGAAATGGAGAGAAGCCGGATCCTGAATATACTACCTCTGTCTATTTTTATTTGTCATGTTGCACTTTTTGAAAGCCAATTTGATTAATTTTCAAAGTTAAATTAAATATTATTAATTCGATATTTTAAACAAAAAATTTAGATATTCAAAAACTATACGAAAAGTACTATAAATTGCAATTTTTTGCATATCAATAAAATGAAAAAATACATAGTAAAATGTTAGTCAAAATTCTCATAGCTTGACTCTAAAAATGGAAACCATGACAATTAAAAGTGGATGGAGTGAATATATAATTTTATTCTGTCACCACTAAAGATAATATCTCAAATAGTTACTTAACTATGAACTCATTTCTTATGTCACTTAACCTTAATTTTTAACTCAAAAAACTATCAACTTCAATTTTTAGCTCAAAATTATTCAACTACGAGTGTTTTATTTACAAAATCACTCTATTTATTTGACTAATTTTTTAAATTTAAATGAAATCCCCACCCCATTTGACCCTGATAAAAGAGTTTTGAGATATTAATCTCCTCGTCACTATCATCCATGTGAATCTTGATTCTAACACAAATGAGCCAAAAAAAATTATGTTTAAGGCCGTAACTTTCAGTATATAATAATTTAAAATTTATAATGTGGGGTTCACATACAGATATTTTATCATCGAAATCAACTTCAAAGAAAAATGTGTGTTCAATAAATCATCCAAGAAACATATGCTTACAAAATTAAAAGGAGTAGTAGCAACGAATCCATTTTCTTCTTGCCCTAATCATATGACCAATTTTTCATATTAAAGTCAAATCAGTTGCCTTCACAAATTTCTTCTACAGCCTTTCACATATTTATGAGACTTTTCCTTTTGTTAGGAATCGTGTATAACGTTATTTACTTTCAATAATAATTAATTGGGACACGAAGTTACGTTGCAGATGCCATCCAATATTACTGATAGTTGGTGTGTGGAAAGAAGCTAAGTAGGATGATCCTTGGGATTAATTTCACGAACAGATGTGTCTGTACGTTCAAGCCCTCAAACAAGGAAATGCAGGCATGCATTTTAGATGAATGAGGACTTGCAGATTCCGTACTGGACGATTTGTTTACTCAAAATCAAATTGAAATACGCATGTGTCTGAGTCAGTCACCGTGTTGATTTTATTAGCTGGCAGTGTCACCAAAAAAACTGAAAGTACTCATGTTTGTGTCTGTTACGCAAATCTCGACTCACTCTCATTTACTCATGTTTGTGTCTGTTACATAACAGATTGTAACTCTCCTGGAAATGGTTGACTGTTTCATCCTATCTTTTCCACTCTCCTGGAAATTTGTTGAGTGTTATTATTGATGTAACAACTGATCTGCCTTATTTTGTACGTATCATTCTCTGATTTGTTCACGCGTCTAATTCTGTTTTTTACCCCCAAATTACTACAGCACAATCTCTAAAATAACAAAATTTTCTAAATGAAAGAATAGTATTGAATCCAAAGTTAGAAAACAAACACTCTGCCATCAATACAACGACATACAGAGCATACATTATTCTCAGCAAAGAAAAACAACCACAATTACACCTGTAATAATCATCATACTCCATGATCATTAGAGGTATCAATAACACACAAATTATATTTTCTACTACAGCTAGAACCAGGAGTTTCAGTAACATCAACATCTTCAGGCTTCATCCCATTAGGCAGCTTCCAGTTGAAATGGTAAATAAGTTGAGCTAATGGAAGCTCAACATTTGATAAACCAAATGAAATTCCAGGGCACATTCTTCTTCCTCCGCCAAATGGTAAATACCCAAAATTTTGTCCGATAAATTCCAAACTATTACCTGCACAATTTATGAACCTCTCTGGTGTAAAACTCTCAGCATTTTCCCAAAATTCAGCATCTCTATTAATTGCCCAAGCATTCACTATTACTTTGGTCTTAATAGGTATGTCATATCCATTAATTACACATTGCTCCCTGCATTCTCTTGGAAGTAACAAAGGAAGTGGTGGATGTAACCTCAAGGTTTCTTTAATTACTAATTTTAGGTAGCTAACTGTTGGGTTTAAAAGGTGTGAATGGAAAATGAAGAGTTGCGACTTTTATGAAGAGTTGTGACATTTATGAAAAATTGCTACTTTTATGAAAAGTTGTGACTTTTATGAAAAGTTAT